ATTGTACTATACAACCTACAACAAATTTTGCACAGATTTTTATTGAAACACCAATTGAAATATAGAAAATTAAGTAAAATTAAGCAAAAAATAAGTTACCTTTTGTACAATTAACTCACACTGGGTGCCTTTACCTGATGCCGGGGCACCTGATATCATCACTTTCAAAGGTTCATTCTTCGAACAACTCACCCTCAATCCCTGCACAGAAAATGGAAAAGTTAATATCTTTAAAAACAAACAAAAGAACCCATTTCTGTGAAGTGAAAAACCTTGGGTTTTGGGCTAATCCTGAGATGGGTTTTGCCAGACGAAGAGAAAAGAGGAGGAGAAAGAGATGAGCAAGAAGAAGAGAGAGAAAGAGAAGATGGGTTGAGAGAGGGAGTTGCAGAGGCATTATAATTGGTAAGTGGATGAAGTGAAGTAGCTGTACAACATGAAGAAGAACAAGTAGTCAACATTTTTTTGCTGCTGCTGCTCCTTGAGAAGTGAAACACAGAGAATGAAATGGAAGTTGAATTATAGTTGATTGATGCTAACGGATCAATTGACACCATAGGTTTTTCCAATTTTTTTTATAAATATATATAATATATTATTTTCTCGTAATGTTATTTTTAGGATTTTTTAAGATGTAAGATATTCTTTATTTTTTTTTGAGTAAACTGTACATTTAGTATATAAGCTATCATTTTTTATCTATTTTAATACTTAATTTTCTTGGGAATAAATTAAAAATTTAGGCACTAAAACGGACCTGAACTAAAAGTATAGATACTAAATATGTAATTTACCCTTATTTTTTTTTTTTAAATGTGTTGATATTGATTTATTTATGATATGAAGTATATTACTCACAAAAGTTTTCCACAAGTCCTCTACTATATCAATAAAAATTCATTTTAGTTCCACTATTATAAGGATTTGTGTCCAATTGTAATCAGATAATTTTTATAAAATTATAAAATTAAATAATATTTTATATAATATTTAAAATAATCCAAAAAATCATTAAAATATAATAAAAATTATAAATATATTAAATTATTATAAACAAAACAAAATAGTATACAATATTAGAAATTAATAATAAAAATTATTTTCATGATTATAAGTCGCATCCCCGTATTTTTTTTAGCTGTCTTTAACTTATTTTTTTCACAACCATATTAACTTTTAAATACATATGAAATTTTAATTAGTATGAATCAGGGATGATAAAATAGTAATTACAGCATAGCAAAGTTTACCAGCACAACCCAAATGCCAAATCGGCCAATACATTCAGAATGCAAATAAAAATTATTATTATTATTATTATTATTATTATTATTATTATTATTATTATTATTATTATTATTACATTAAGATGCCTAAAAAAGCAAAGCGCAAGGTATCAGATGAGTAACTGATGTAAGGGTTGAATTCTTTCCTCAAAAGACTATAAAATGTGCCATTTTCTGTGTTTGGAGAACCTTCTTCAATCCAGCTTTACCGAAGAGAATAGATAATGCACGAACCAGAACGAAGAAAGGAATCCGACGGTGCCGGTTGTGAACATGATTGCGAGAACCATGAAGAGAGAATACCCCAAGTAGAGAGTAGCTGAGACCGGTCCACTCAAGCTCTTTAGATCAAAGATGAGATAGTTTACGGAGTACATGAAGATGTAGATGGCGACCGAACCGGATGCAAAGAACGATTTCCACCACCATTTCCAGTCCTCCACGCAGAGATGCATGTAGGTTAGCACCAAAGATACTTCGGCACAAACCACGACGAGTAAGATTAGAACAATGAACAGAAACCCAAAGACGTAGTAGACTCGTCCCATCCAGATGCTAGACATGATGAAGAAAAGCTCAATGAAAAGGGTACCGAAAGGTAGAGTCCCTGCACTAAGAACTAACAGCCAAGATGGGCACCTTTGAGCCGGGATTTCCCGGGGGATCTGGTTGGTTCGAACAGGGTATTCGACATGAGGTGCCTTAGCCCCAAAGTATCCACCAATTAGGGTGAGTGGAACCGAGATACAGAACCAAAGTAAAAGTAGAACAAGAAAGAGAGAAAACGGAATAGCTCCTGTGCTGTGACTTCCCCACAACAGGAAATTCAAAACGGTAAGAATCGAGAAGGAGATACCAGGGAAGAAACAAGCAGCCTTCCAAGCAACGGAAATCCATCCTTTGGGATTGCCGAAGCCTATTGTTCTCCAAAGACGGACTGCGACGTAGCCTGCTGCAATACCAAGAATCATGTAGAAAAATAGCATACCTGTAATGAGAGCTCCACGGGATGCTGGTGACATAAATCCAAGAGCAGCAAACAAGATTGTCACAATTGCCATCCCAAGGATCTGAACTCCATCCCCGACCATAATACACAAAAGATCTGGATTGGACGGGGCACGGAAAACATCCCCAACAACTAGCTTCCAACCAGATAACTCCTCATTCACCATTGCTTGGGCCTCCTTATCAAGCTCCTTGTACCGGGTCAGATCCCGCCTAACAGTCCTTAAGAAGATCACAAGGACTATACCAGCGAGGAAAGTGATCACCATGAGAGAATTCAAGATCGAGAACCAATGGACTTTGGCTCTCTCCATCTTCAAATAAGCATCCCAACGAGATGGCCACTTGATATCACTCTCCTCAAAAGTAACTTCATAGGTGAAGACAATCGGCTCACCTTCCTTGATGGGCTTCGACACAGTAGTCGGCTCACATTTAATTGGAGAGGGGTATTTCTCATACATTTTCAAGTTCTTAACCAAGTTACCATCATGCATGACACTGCAAGGAACCACCTCAAAGCCAACGACCATATAACCAGGAACATCCAATCCCTTATTGCCGGCAGTGGGGATAACGTCCGCACCATCCCCAGTCCCCATAACACGTGCCACATCAGGTACCTCATACTTATGAACAAGCACCTTAAATTTCAAATGATTAAACACATAATACACATCCTGAATCTTAACACCAACTGGATACCCGGTCCACCTCAACATAAAACCCTCTTTCATCGTATACCTTATCGCAGGCAAATTATCGAGAATCAAGTTAACTTGATACATCTCATCAATCCTCTTCGTCAACAACTTAAAATCATGAGCCGACAGCTTATCGGTTTGACACAAGAAGATCTCGGATTCGTTAGTGTACATCTTAAACTTATATGGTGAGTTCTCGATCCGATCTCCCATGAGAAGCTCACCCAGATTCTCAGCACTATCCTTAACACCCTCTAAAGGCTTACAAAAGGGTAAACTGTAATAGCTAAAGGGCATTTCAGTGTCAATGGAAGTAAGGGAGTTCACTTTGACAGATAAAGAATTCCCAACCACATGCTTGAGAGGGTAACTACCAGGCAAATAAAACCCATATCCAGATTGAAATATCAAGCAGATTGTTAATATCCAGATCCCGAAATTGCCCATGATTCCGAATTTTGCCAGATCTGGGAAAACCCAGGACCAGAAATGAGTTTACTAGCAAAGATTAAGTGAATTTCAATATGGGTTTTGACTAAACAATGAGAATAGAAGAAATCTACCAATGTATATAACAATGAAGAAATTATGTAAAAAAAGAAGAAAAATCTCAAGGATATTTGGGAGTAGAATTAGAGTAACCTGATGAGAGAACCAGGTGAAGAGCCTCTATGAGAAAACTTGAAGTCCAAGCATAGAGAGATCTTCAAATTGTTTCTTTTTTTTTCCTTTTCTATTTTCCGTTTCAAATGAAAATGAAGTTTGGAGAGGAAGAAAGTGGCAATGGCGGGTCGTATATTATTGGCGCTCTAACTATCACCGACACCATATTCAGAGTTCTCTTCCTTTTGGAAGCTTTCTTCAACAATAATTCACGTTTTTGACTTTATTTTTCAAAAAAAATTATATCAAATCTCAATTAAATATAAAAATTCTTACTTTTCTTTAATCTAATAGTATATTATTAAGTTTTAGTCTAAACTTCGAATATTACTAAACGGTTTGGATGATAAAGAATTATTTTTAGTTTTTGAGATTTTGAATTTGATTACCATAAATGTTAAGGGTATATACATTAAATATTAAATATTCGAGAGTTATCTTTAAATAAATATTATTATTCGAATAATTATGTCTATATGTGTATGTATTATTTAAAATATTAAAAATAAATATTACCTTATAAATGTAATTTCAATGTACGTTAAAATTAAGGTTAGGAGACCCTCTTTACATATATGTGTATATATATATATATATATATATATATATATATATATATATATATATATGAACAATCAATGAACAAAAGGAGAAGAGAGGAGAGAAAAATGGCCACAGGAGCAGCAGCAGCCGAGACGATGCTCCGGTGTGTCCTTGCCGGAAGCCTAGTGATGCAAGAGATGGAGGTCGAGCAGCGGCCGTATCATAAGAACTGCAGCTGTGCATTGCACAACTTATAAGGCTACCTGCTCTTCGGGTTGTTCTCGTGTATCTTTTTCCAAGAAGAAGACATGGAAGGATGATTGTTCCTTATCCGTGTCGAATTCGCTGTTCTCTTCCCGATCTTCTCCAGTCGTCGGCACTTCGGTTAAAAGCATGGAATTGAAGACGTTGATGGGGGTTCCGTTCATGGAATCTGAGAATATAGCAGAGTTTTGAATGGTACTAGTACAGTTATGTGAAACGCAGGTTTGGAGATATGGAGAGTTTATTGTTTCATTTTTGGTCCTCCCTTTTCGATTCTTTTCTATTTGGTCCATTATATTAATTTTTTAAGATAGTGAAATTATTTAGAGGGATTAGATCAAAATTCTGTTGAGGTATACTTCTCTGTAATTGATGTTGGATTCATTGTTCTTTGTAAACAAGCTGTAATGAAAAACTCTATGCGATTGCATGGTTATGGGGAAAAAGGAAATTACCATTTGACCCATATCTTCCAAAATTAATTCATGGTAATCCATATTTACACGATTAAATACAGATTTTAATTCGATTTCTAAGCCATGGCAGGGACTCTGGAATTTCGCCGATCCCTGCTAAGGCAATCAAATCCTTCAACTCTAACTGCGGCCGGTTCAAGGCCAAATTTCATCCCGATACACCCTGCTTTACTTGCAAGTGACGACGACGACGACGGACATGGAATTTGCAGCGTCGAAAGCGCTTGTGCAAGCCGCTCTTCGTTGAACCGAGCATCTTGCACAAGTGGATTCGCCGCCCTGCCGGGAGGCGATCCACAAAAGAACGGGGGTGATGAGGCTATAGCATCGAGAAGCTCCGCACCAGCTTTCGAATCGTTTACCTCGGCTTGATACAGATGCAACTGCAGGACCCGAATTCGCCGAGGCTTGGGGCAGACAACTGCACTGCCGTTTCGATGATCGGAGATCAAGACCAACCCTCTCATCTCTTCGTAAGTCGAAACGGCGGCCGTTATGCCGAAGATTGAGAAGTTCAAATATAGTATTTTGGAAGGCTTGTGCTGTGAGTTTACAGGCTCTCTCTCAAGTGATATATATAGAAAGAGGAAGAGGTTTAGTGTATGATTAATGGAAGACAGAAAATCTCTTGAATTGTACGATGAATACTAGAGAGGACCAACATTGATCTTGTTGTTGCAAGAAATTCGATCTGGAACTTACTGGTTTGTCTTCCTTTTTGTCTTGCTCCACTTCACTACGTCGTTATAAACTACAATTCATGCTTGCTCAACGGTTCTCTTTGTTCATTTTCGGTGAATTATAGGCGATCATTTCTAGTGAACTCAGAAGTCTATATAGGATTGAGTTGTAGTGGGATGTGCTTAGGCATCATCATCATCAGTCGGATCCGATTGAATTTTTGGCCTACTCAAATCTGATTTGAAAAGTAAACTTCTTTACTCTCATTTGATTGGATTTGGATTTAAGAAAGTTTCATCCGACTCAAAGTAAAACCCTAATTTTTGAAATAAAATTTAATCTCGATTTCACCCGACACAAATATATATTGATTTGGGTAAATTACACATTTAATATCTAAACTATCAATTTTGGTTTGTTTTAGTACCTAAACTTTCATTTTTTTTAAACCATACCTAAAGTTTAGTTTTTTTTTTCCATTCTAGTGTCTTGTCGTTAAAAACTTTAGTTTTTGTTTCATTTTAGAACTTTGTTCAAATTTTAACGTCAAGTTTTGAAAAAGTTGAAATTAGGTACTAAAACGGACCAAAACTGATAGTTTAGGTACTAAACGCGTTAAGTTTTTAACGGTGGGTACTAAAATAAAATAAAAACTAAACATCATGTATGGTTTTAAAAAATTGAAAGTTCAAGTACTAAATCAGACCAAAACTTATAGTTTAGGTACTAAATACATAGTTTATCCTAATTTTTATTAGATGAAATAAAAGATTAATTAAAAATAAATATATACGTAGTTAAATATTTACCAATATATTGACGTTTATATGCCCATTCCTTGGAACCCAAGTTTGCATCAATCGAACTCTCAAGGATTGCAAGGAACAAAAGAATATTACTGCACTCCAATCATAATTCCCGAGAGAATATTTATAAAACGAAATGCGAATGACTGAGAACACAGCACGATCGGTTACATCCCTGACCGGACTCGTTGCCGATCATCTTCAAACGGAGCAGCAAACCTGGAAGAGAAATTCCGAAGCAAATCGTCTCCTTCTTTATCATCATCACCATCATCGAAGTTGAGCGCATAGCTGCAAGCATCATACTGAAACTTGTTCTTCTGACACTTCCGCTGATGGAAATATCCACCCATCTTCCTCACAAAATTCTTCCACTTCCGCCCCGCCATTTTCTCCGACAGCTGTTTCAGTTTATCCAGTTTGCTTTTCCACCACGTCTCCGCGTCTTCTTCGCTTCTCCGGTGCAATAGCGTATCGGATTCGTCGTTGAATCTCCGGCGTTTGAAGCAGAAGAGATTGAAACAACTGCACCCTTTACCCCAGAATTCGTCTCCATGATCCACGTCCATTTCTTCTTGCATGAAGATGGGTTTCTCTTGAGAGATTGCCATGGAGAACTGAAACCAAAAGAAAAGAAAAGGGTTACGGTTTTTGGATTGGGGGTAAGGAAGTAGAGGTATTATTTTATATGGAGAACTTGTGGAAGATGAAGAGAAGAAGCAAGGGAAATACGATGGGAAAAGTAAAGGAATAGTAGTAGGTAGGCGTTGCATTGAGAATCTGGCTATGGCGGCTCAGTGCTACGCGTTATCTTAATGTTGGTGGAAAAGTGGGGAAAACTCGTGTGGATGGAAGGATGCAACGAAGAAGATGGTGCGGTCAAAGCACGTATGATTAGACTTAGAGTATTCAATTCCTTGCTTTGACCAAAAACATTAACTCAAGCGTTTTACATTTGATAAGATATGGCTCACACGTGAAATTAAAAAAAGCAAAATAAGTTTAAATTATATAATAATCATTAAATTTTAAATTATTTCTGAATAAATCTAATATATATATCCGAGGGAAAGCTTACCATTAAACTAGAGTATCTAATAAAATCTGATACTCAATCTAAAAGATCTCACACTACAAAGAGAAGAATTCAAAGAACCGACTATATTCAGCCTTCTACCCTGAAGTTTAAATTGGACATCGACCTTAACCTTGATACACAAATGCACTTCATGCAAGCTTGAGGATAAGCATACATAGAGAATGCACTTTGAGGAGGTAATCACCCAAGCGATTTCATGGTCCCACAAACAAATATACGGTTGGAAAATTACGATAAATTAGAAATTTTGAGGCATATTTTTTTAATGGTAAAGATGAAGATTTGAATAATAAATTTATTGATTCATATTTTACTCCATGAGATCTTTACAACGGTATCTTATATGCTCAAAACAGTTGATTGATGAATGAGAAATTGATGCTCAAAGTATGATATATTGTATAACGAAAATAAGAAAACTCGTATCCCTTAGTGGGATAACAAGCATGTGAATAGTTTATACACATCAACATACTTGTTAGTCATTGAATGACTTGGGTTAATATTGTGTCTCTTGCGTAGGTGCAAGGGTGCAAATCCAAGCTCATCAAACCATCGGGGTTGGGGCTACACCCCTGACGCGGGTGATGCGAGTCTCCGTACCGTTCGAGCCTCTGAGGTTAGGGGTGAGCAATACTTGACTTGAAATAACTTTGAGTTATAATTTCATAAATTCTACCTGAAAATATTTCAAGTTCAAACCGAGTTATATTTTACAACTCGAATAACTCAAATTTTTTAGTAATTAGTAGATTAATTTTCAAGTTTGAGTTGAGCTCATCGACTTTGTATGGTTTATATAAATCACATATGAAAAAATACAAAAAGATATATATTTATTGTATATGATTATAAAATGCCATTTAAATTAGAATCAAATAATGTCATAATATTGTAAATATTTACAAATAAATTTAAATAGAAACTCGAAAATCTGACTCGATTCGAATTTTATAAACTCGACTCGACTAAAAAAAATTTCAAGTCAAATCGAAGTTATAAAATAGGACCCGTCAACTCAAATAACTTGAATTTTTTTACTCGACTCTACTCGATCAAATTCTCACACCTACTATGGGGCCTACGGATATTTTACACACTAAAAATTGAATATTTTCCTTAAATGTGACATATCTCTTTTAATATTTTGAATTAAAAAAGATATTATATGATTTTCTTTTAATTCAAATGTTAATATGGTATAATTTGCAGTTCATGAATATATTCTAATTAAAACGACATTAATTTATTGTTTCTAGTTTTATTCGGAGACTAATTAAAGCCTTACTTTTCAAAATATATTGTTTTCAATTCTTCTCCTATGTGAAAGACTATATATACCGTGTAAACCTACTAGGTTTAACACAATTAAAAAATTCTTTTCTTATTCTCTGTTTTCGGTGGTAAACTCTAGTAAGATATAGTTCATGATCTCGCAAGTTGTGTTATTGTACGCTGATCATATTGTTATTGTATCCTGGGAGACAGACAACCAAAAGATCTCGAGCACCAATGAGTAACTGAAAATTTGTCTCAAGGAAACTGTGCAGCTACAAGCCTCAACTAGTTTCCAATTTATTATTCAAGTTCTTTACCCTAATTGTATTTTTTATTAATAAAATTCGATTTTTTTTCTTTTATCTCGAATTGTTATACTATAACACATAATCTTTTTCCAAATACTAGCAGAAAAATGACATTAAAAAAAGAGATGACACATCGACTCAACCCACACCACAAAGATCACACTTATAATCCACCATCAAGTCCATCCTTCACAACCGGTTCTTGGTCGCCAACCTATTAAGGATGGCAAGCCAAACAAGCATTGCATGTTTAAGAACATGCAATAGGAACCAGATAAGTTTATGTCACTGCACCTTATCTTCCCTTCTCCTAAACTTACACCACAACTCCTTGGTTGAAACAGAAGCTTCACAAGACAACAAATCACGTGAAGGTAAAGTCTCGTTTCTCAACGCAAAAACCTTCCTAAAACTCCAACTAAAGCTACTCTTAACCACCAAGGACCAGAAATCAACTATTTTAATAACGTAGGCTTGCACCAAGCCATCTACACCGAACCATCGGCAAGGATACTTCTCATCAACAGGAGAAACCACAACTTATTCAAGCATTAAAGGTTCTTCAAAACCAACCCTACTTCAATTTTCGACAGACAAATCCTACTACAATAAACTTTTACACCCGAAGGGAATGTCCTACCATTTCTACACACAAAAAGAACAGAACTGTTCGATCTTCTTATAACATCCCAAACTACGGGTTAGTGACTAAATTATAAAACTTCAGAATTTTTACAATTCCATACCACACCACAATCTCTTGCAATTACACAATTCCATAATCTTTTTCCAAATACTAGCAGAAAAATGACATTAAAAAAAGAGATGACACATCGACTCAACCCACACCACAAAGATCACACTTATCATCCACCATCAAGTCCATCCTTCACAACTGGTTCTTGGTCGCCAACCTATTAAGGATGGTAAGCCAAACAAGCATTGCATGTTTAAGAACATACAATAGGAACCTGTAACACCCCCAACCCGTACCTGAATCCGAGTCCGAAGTGTCACATTGACTTTTCAAAACGTTTACTTGTATAAAATAGTGAGTAATTTAAAACTTTTATACATGTAACTTATTCAAAAGATTTCCATAACTATTCAGAGCTTAAATGTTTTTGCAAAACTTATCAGAGTATATACAATTCAAAACATTAATTACATGCCAACTATTTTCAATGTACAAAATACATCTAATTCAAGACATCTTTTCTGATCTGATCTTCGGTAAGAAGTAACTGACATGTCTTGCTCTACTTTGCTCTTTACTCTTCTTACTTCTGCAACCT